CGCACGCTTCTACAGCCAACTGAGCCATTACGGCGGAACTGGATTCCCGTTCCTCCCCCACCTGAGAAGCCCCCCCTGTGAGGGGTCTCCAGTGCCCCTGCACTCACCTGGCCTACATCGCCAACACACATGCACTGTAGAAACAGGCCCCCAGCTGGAATCCCCTGCCCAACCTGGCAACCCGGAAATACACCCTCCCCCCCCCCACCAATAACAACCCCCAGATAACAGGACCAATCTGGCCGAGATCGCGTCACGTCGCTGAGATGGATATAGATCAGACAATCCGCAGATCTGAACTCTTCAGGAATTTATTTCAGCTGCGCCCCCTTAAGATCTTCATAAAGCGCTTATACGGCCCATTAAAAAGATCAGATTTGCTCTTTTGCTCATGGCGGGCGGAATCCTAGCGTTGAGTATGACCTTTCCTGGGATATGCTTCAGAAAGTGTCCGGGAACAGAGAAAAAAAAATGAAGCATTGAAGTATGAGTCTTCACGGAGCGTCTTGGATTTTGTTTAAAGAGTATAGTATGATTCAGCAGTGGAAGAGTGGGACTGGGATACAACCAGCACAATCGGTGGTCATAATGAGTAATGGATGAGCCAACGATTGGTAGCGGCAGTACAAAGGGACGTGCTAGTCTGTGTTCCTGAAAAGCCCGACGGAACATTTTAGGGAAATGACATCTCAATAGTCAAAATGAGTCAACAACGATAAAGGGCTTAATAACTAGGACAAGGACTGCAGGAAGCACACCTGCCTACCATGGAGTCTTTAGCCATGGTACCATTGTCAAGAAGAATTCAGCATATCCGTCGATATCCCATTGTGACGCCGCTCTGGAATGCGCTGGACTCCGCTTCATAGCACGGGCTCCAGGTTCATTGTGAGCCTAAGTCATATCAGCACTTACGCAAAATGTGCATTGATGGGCCGATTGATTTCTATTCACATTCCTCACGAATCCCAATGAACTGGAACTCAGACGATCAGAAATCGCAAAGGCGTACATGTTTATTTCCTATCTGCTACAATTTAGCCCCAGGCCGTCATGACTATTCTTAAAGACATTTTCAAGAAATGATGAACACTAATGATCCATCAAAAACGACGACGTGTGCAAAAGTACAAAGATGTGTGCAGAGGTCACACCGAGGAGGCGGCTTCCAGATGAAAGCCAGACTGAATACAGGCAGGTGTTTCCCGTCATTAATGCAGAGTAAGAAGCAGAGGGACGGATTCATGCAGATTTCTTTGTTACCGTTAAAACGGTCTTTCCTTCCTGTCGCTTTGCTTTTTTGAACTTTTTCAAACTTCCTTTCAGTCTCCTTTTGAGTTAATGAAGCAGATTGGCCAGTAAATGTGGAATTACAGGAATATTAAGCTTAAATACTTCAATTATTTGGTGACAGAGAGGCAGGCTTAAATGTCTCCTTAATGCACTTCTTTTTTCTAAATGAATGAATGAATGAGCGAATGAACAAAGGGCATAAAATGCAAACATTGTCAAGTAAGTTTCTTTATGCCAGGAAACAGATGGGAGGCTATAGAGCTTAAGACAATTATAAAGGTACATTTTACAATCTGATTATTTCATAAACATGGAACATGGACATCATAGTAGTTATGACCCAGCTGAGTGTGAGAGCCTCTTGCTCTCTCTCTCTCTCTCTCACCTGTGTGTGTGTGTATGTTTAATGCTTTTCACCGGGTTTGTGATTGGCCGGGGCTTAGATGAGACGGCACTCCCGATTCGTCCCCGAATGAGATTTCTGGTTATATATATATATAAAGGTCAGCCACCAGGACTTCATGACACTCTTCTCCTCGTCCTCCTCTCCAGCCATCAGCTCCTGTCACAACCATGTTTTTAAAACCTGCACTGTAAACATTGTAGCCGTCCTGGGAGGTGTGTGTGTGTGTGTGTGTGTGTGTGTGTGGGTGGGGGGGTTATAATCCCCAATCCCACAGCTGCTGTGTCTCCATTCTTGATGCCGAATCGACAGTTTGCTGTTCATTCCACAGCTGGTTTGACTAAATCATTCCCACCCAAAATAAAGTCCCAATTCCCTGCCCCCGTGTCACGCGGTTCTGCTCGGATCGCTTCTCGCACGTCTAAGCTCTCAGTAAGTAAACATCAGGATCACAAGCCTCAAAGTCACCGCGGCCTGGTCTAAATCGGGAAGCTGCCAGGCACGCCTCACTCCGGGCTGCTCTCTCTGGCCATTCGCGGTCAGAGGATATATTACTTAGGAGACAGTTTTTTGTCCGCTGGCCAGAGGAAGCCATACCGTGTGACTGAATGATTAAGGACAATGAGAACCAAGTGACCACTGGATGATGTTTCAATCTATGAGGAGCCAGCATGCTTAGCTGAAGACTAATAATTGAGAAGACATTTCTCCATAAAATTCTATATATACTGGACATCAAGAAAAAGTCTAATATTTCACTCAATGAACTATTGAGATGGAAAAAAAAAATAAAGGTCTTACTTGAAGGCAGGGGCGCCGCTAGCAATTTTGGGCCCTATGACAAAATATGAGGTTGGGCCCCCCTACGGTAACTTATTATTAATAAAGCAGATCTCTGGGGGGCCCTAAAGGGCGTGGGCCCTTAGAATTGTCCCAACTTTCCCCCCCTTAGCGGCGCCCCTGCTTGAAGGGTTAAAGTTCATATACAACAGCAAAGCCTACAATAACTTCTGCTTGTGTCCTTGTTTGCTTATTCATGCAGTAGATTTGGGTTCCTTGGGTCTTTTTGGTGTAATCACCATTTGGTAGCAGTTTGGCTTCACAGAAATGTCGCCTTCCATTAGTTCAATAGGTCATCCTGCACCTGAAACCACTCGAATGGAGTATATTATGAAGGTGTGACCACTGCATCCTCAAGTCTTTTGTATGAGGCCAAAATAAAAGTATTGGACACGGACTGAGATGTGAATATTATACCAAAAACAGGAGTATGCTTAATACATTTGGTGAAGTAGCTATAATTGGTATGTTCTGAAGAACAGGGATAAATATTTCTATGTAATTTAATCCCTTTACATTCTTTGCCAACCCTAACCCAACCTAGTTTACCAAATAAGTACCAAATAAATAACATTATCTGATTCAAAAAAAATATTTTATTGGAATGAAATATTCATGAGCATCTGTTGAAAGGAATGTGTTTTTTTTTAACTATTACATTCCATTGTGAAGAATAGATCGGGCAAAAAACATGAAAAAACATGGCACTATCAAATGTAATTATCGGCTGGCTAGGCGGCTCGCGGCACTGGCAGCTGAATGCGTATGAAATGACAGAGACAGGCTCTCCAGTGAGGGTCTGCTCGCCAGCCAGTGACAGTGCGTGCAGTGCTGACACTTACGGGGCTGATGCTCGGCACCCGGCTCGCGGGCTCCTTAAGAGCCCGAATAAACATCGATTTTGCAGTAACATCCAGCCAAACGACACATCAAGGACGACAACAACGGGCACCTTGTAAAAGAGAAAAGCTGCCCGCTCGCATTGTTGCATGATGTGCTTCGCCGGTGCACTTCTGTTTTCGCGCAGAGTCCCTTTCAGGAGGCGCGTTTTAAAACTTTACCATGGCAATATGCTCCTGAATGTTAAAATAGTGCTAGATAAAGTCGAAAGGAAGTATGAGCTGAAGCGCACCGTCATTTACAGGCGTGAAGGAAACTCCGGGAATGACAGATATCCCACGGTTATATTCACCGTATTCAGCATAAGCCAAGAACCGTGGCCTGAATTACATGAGGTGTATTACTATGAAATATTACGATTTATGATGTGAAAGACGGTTAAATAACCCGCAACAAGCCGCTCACACATGTCCCCGTTTAGCTTTTATTTAATTTTAAGTCTGCTCTATTAGGCGAGTCTATTAGGCGGCCGCCCCCCCATGTTCGCCTCACACCCCCTGTCACACACACGCAGACACACCGTCTCATCACCGCCTCTCAAATAATTTTCCAAGAAAACCGGACTTTTAAGTGAACAGATCGCCTGAAGCTTTATATAATAATATTGCCGATATTATTATATGCTCTCCAGAAGAAAAAAAAAACTTCCCCATCATCATTTTAGCGAAGGCAGACAGCAACACCGGAGTAAATGGCTAATCGCGTCACCGGCCATAACATTTAACTGAAATGATTCGTATAAATGAATGACCTGCATGGCCACGGAGACCACGGGGCTCTGGAAACGACAGAAATGCGTTTTCAGTCCTGCGTATTTGGTAAAGCAGTAGCTGTTTTCCGGCACAGGCGCTTATTATGGCTTTCTGCTGTCTTATCTGCATGTGAGCGGGATGAAAAACGTTATACATAAATACTGGTCATTTAAAATGAGACTGATAAATAAAACTCTTCTCCAGCGTGGAATTTGGTCGCTGACTGCTCGCGGTTTAATATCGGCGCATTTGAAAAGGAGATACAATGACGGTTTAAAGCATGTGGAACACTACACTGCCTTATTTATATGAACTTCGGTAATGCGCGGATCACCGTTTGTAATTATGTGCTTTTAAAAAAGGGTAAAAACAATTATAGGCTGGAAAAAAACAAAGCACCTACTGCCCGCATATATACGATATGATCCCGATCATACGTTCGCTCTTTCCTTTCCCAATTTCCCGATCTAAGTATGACCGTCCAGATAATGTGCATTGATTCGCCAACCAGTGAACTACAATAGAATATATCTAAGCATTACGAAATGCATACATACACACAATAACCCACGTTTTACCATACCAGTACAAAACATTGTATTTAATGGCAAATGCTATAATCACACATTTTCTCAAACAATACTTTTTAACTACCTTAAGTAAAAACATTGCCATCGGTCGATCTCATTGTCGCATACTGCCACACCATAGGTATCGTTACGGTGTTGCTACACTCGATGTAGCGACGCTGGAAATAAAACAAACAATTTGTTCTAAATATAAAATCGATGGCATTAAGTTAAGGTGCTTACTTTGTGTCGTATCAAGTGATCCGGCCTGGAAACTCTGTAAAGAGTGTTGTATTATTCCAGGGTTGTTAATGATCTTTTTTTTATTTATTTAACTCGTCCACGAAAAATGTAATGCAGTTCTTTTTCCCTCTCCCGCGAACAGATGCAGACGGCGCCAGCCCAGCCGATCCACCTGCATCCCTGCAATAGAGAGCAGCATCAGCATCACCGTCGGGCCCGCCTACTCGCCACTCCCCATCTCACTCCCATTGGCTAATCCCTCCGAAAGTAGTGCGTAATTAGCAGAGCGGTTGTCCAATCGCCTATCACCATTTTCTTGACTTAAGAATGCACGTTCCAATCACAGTGATTGATGGCCTCACCGGCCAATCATAATTTCATATGATCGGTAGTTAACATGGCCAACCAGGAGTAGTTTAGTCGTAATACTTCGCCCCCCCCCCCCTCCGTTATTTTAGACATTATTTTTCATCTGACAGGGCACCTCCCTAGTTACTTAAACGCGGAAGGGAATCCGGATTTTATTTGTGATGTCACGGGGAATTTAAGAAGCAAATGCCTTAAATACTATAATCGTATCACGTTCCATTATCAGCATTATAAAATGACGAAGAGAAACTAAATGTAATCAATCTGTAAGGCAAAAAGCATCTGAAATTATAGCTTTAAAAAATAGTCACGCAAAATACACTGGCTGGTTTTCATTTGGCAACGATATACCTGAGATTCTAAACAATATTAAACATTTCCCATTTATGAATCGTTTAACCGCTTATCCTGGTTAGGGTCACCTGGAGGCTGCCCCTTGCTGGTCCTGGATGGGATGCCTGCCTATCGCATCGTACATACACACATGCATGCAACATGTGGAGAACATGGGGATAGCATGGGCAGAAGGTGCCGGCCGAACGCACACAGACCAAAGGCAGTATTTGACCCTCCAACCCTGGAAGTGTGACACAACATGGCTTTCCCACTGAGCCGCTGCACAACCCCGTTTACCATTCAGGAAATATAACGCTCAGCTTCAACACTCACACTGCGCATTAAGTTTACAGGTCAAATTGATCCCTAAATGCAAAATTCTGCAACTGGTCATATTACAAATATAACAAAAACCTACATAACCTTACTTGACGCCATTTAGAAACAAACCGTTATATAATCACACATATTACTTTACAGTTTTAAAGTACAAACAAAACGATCAAGAGATTAAAATTGAGAATCAAAAAAATGGAGAATAAGTGTACTTCGTCAATTTGGGGTCAGTGATAACGTTGTTTTGAATTAGTGTTAGTTTCGTATTACATTCATTAAGTTTGACTTGATTTCACTTATTTTTTTATTGATTACTCCAGAGCCTCCCACGACCTTGAACAGGATGAGCACTTTGAAGATGGATGGATGGACAAATGAACAGATGCAGGAACATATGGAAGGATTTTTACTGACTATTTATTTACTGAGAGCCCTGCACTGGATTAACAGTTGGGAGAGAATCAATCAATCAATCAATCAATATATCTATCTATGTAAGTTGTTTGTTTGTTTATTCATTTATTTTAGTAAAAACGTTTCTGCAATATGTAAATTTAAAACAAAAATATAAATAAATATATTTTATAAAAATAGAAATTTAAATCTTGTGAGCCAATTACTTAATGGATTTGTTAACTGGCTTCTAGGGTGTTGTGTGGCTTAGTGGGTTAGGTTGTGGGTTAGGTTGTGGTCCCTGTGGCTCTCAGGGTCATTTTTTGGGCCCCAGTTGCTCTAGAGACTGCCTGATTCCGCTTTTTCAATATTATAAAAATGCATAATATCCATCCATCCATCCATCTTCTGTAACCGCTTGTGCTATTCAGGGTCATGGGGGGTCTGGGGCTTACGGGCACAAGGCAGGGAACAACCCAGGATGGCCCACCAACCCACTGCAGGGCACACTCACACTCACACACCATTCACACTCACACTCACACATCATTCACTCACACACCACACACTCACACACCATTCACATACACACTCACACACCACACACTCACACACACACACCTATGGGCAATTTTGTACCTCCAATTAACCTCAGTGTGTGTGTGTTTTTTGGACTGTGGGGTGAAACCGGAGCACCCAGAGGAAACCCCACAACGACACGGGGAGAACATGCAAACTCCACAGCGACACGGGGAGAACATGCAAACCCCACGACGACACGGGGAGAACATGCAAACTCCACGACGACACGGGGAGAACATGCAAACTCCACGACGACACGGGGA